TACTCTCCCACCCCACCCCTGCTTCCCTACTCTCCCACCCCACCCCTGCTTCCCTACTCTCCCACCCCACCCCTGCTTCCCTACTCTCCCACCCCACCCCTGCTTCCCTACTCTCCCACCCCACCCCTGCTTCCCTACTCTCCCACCCCACCCCTGCTTCCCTACTCTCCCACCCCACCCCTGCTTCCCTACTCTCCCACCCCACCCCTGCTTCCCTACTCTCCCACCCCACCCCTGCTTCCCTACTCTCCCACCCCACCCCTGCTTCCCTACTCTCCCACCCCACCCCTGCTTCCCTACTCTCCCATCCCACCCCTGCTTCCCTACTCTCCCATCCCACCCCTGCTTCCCTACTCTCCCACCCCACCCCTGCTTCCCTACTCTCCCACCCCACCCCTGCTTCCCTACTCTCCCACCCCACCCCTGCTTCCCTACTCTCCCACCCCACCCCTGCTTCCCTACTCTCCCACCCCACCCCTGCTTCCCTACTCTCCCACCCCACCCCTGCTTCCCTACTCTCCCACCCCACCCCTGCTTCCCTACTCTCCCACCCCACCCCTGCTTCCCTACTCTCCCACCCCACCCCTGCTTCCCTACTCTCCCACCCCACCCCTGCTTCCCTACTCTCCCACCCCACCCCTGCTTCCCTACTCTCCAACCCCACCCCTGCTTCCCTACTCTCCCACCCCACCCCTGCTTCCCTACTCTCCCACCCCACCCCTGCTTCCCTACTCTCCCACCCCACCCCTGCTTCCCTACTCTCCCACCCCACAACTGCTTCCGTTTTGAAGGTTAGATCTACCCCTCTTGACGATCATCCTTTCAAGAAAATAAATATTCTGAAGGTCCTGAAGGAGGTTACCGGCATCACACCCACTGACATTAGTCAGGAAGGTGATGATATCGTGCTCTTCTTTTCATATGAGGAGGAGCTAGAAAAACTCTTGACCAACGACTGGGAGCCGGTCGGCCGAGCGGACAGCACGCTGGATTTGTGATCCTGTGGTCCTGGGTTCGATCCCAGGCGCCGGCGAGAAACAATGGGCAGAGTTTCTTTCACCCTATGCCCCTGTTACCTAGCAGTAAAATAGGTACCTGGGTGTTAGTCAGCTGTCACGGGCTGCTTCCTGGGGGTGGAGGCCTGGTCGAGGACCGGGCCGCGGGGATACTAAAAAAAGCCCCGAAATCATCTCAAGATAACCTCAAGATAACGATGCCATACTTCGCAAGAAGCACCACCTACATCCTCACTTCCCACGTCAGTTCCTGGCCGGAAGAACTGTTTTTACCAGCAGGACCAGCCGGTGGATCGCTGACCGACCACAACATAAGATCATGGGCAATATCGAGGACGAAAATCCGAACCAGTGTGTAATTTAACCTTCAGTTCTGCAGCACCGACAAATCGTAAATGAAGATTACTTTTACCACCACAGTTGCAGCCAACCAGGCTGCCACACAATGTTTTTACTGCTTCGGTTTACAAATACATCCCCACCAAGTAAAAAGGAACGTTACCATGAGATCCAACAGTGCTTCAAGTGCTACGAGCTCTCCCACCCCACCAACAAGTGTCAGCACCCCGTCCAGAAGTACAGCCTGTACGCACTGGACCATCACTTCTCCATATATAAGGCAACAACCCATCGCTGCTTGCTCTGTGATGGCAATCACCCCGCAATTTCCTACCGCTGCCCCCGCAGACAGGAAAGTATCAAGGCCCAGGTTGAAGCCCAGAGTAACAACCCTTCTACCTCCGCGATCAGAGACCCTGGCGTTCAACTCACCACCTCAGCTCCCACTCACCGACCAGAAGACTTTCCAGTCTTACCAAAGAGTGGTTCCTTCAACCATGGGACCCAGCCTTCACAATGGGGACCCAAGGCCCAACAGGCTCCTTCGCAGCCCCCTACATCACGTGCAGGCATTATCCCTGGTCTTCTTAGACTAGCGGAGAGGCTTTGCGGACCAGACAATCACCGTTTTGTCAGTGAACTGAACATATTATACTTAGCCAGTGGCCTGGACCCCATCATAGCCCCTGGCACAAGTTTCACTGTCTCCACTACCACTCCGGAGACTACCTCCAGGAAGACCACGTGGTCGATCTCAACAAGATCCAGAACCACCCATGACCCGGGCGGCACAGAGGTATTTCCCTCTCAAGCTCCCAACACTCCTACCATCACCATCTCAGCAGCCGCGCTAGCAGACATGCTGTCTACAAATGCTAACAGCGCCACCAATGCTCCTGAAATAACTTCTACCACCAATCCACGACACCTGAGCCTACCTCAGGCTGCGAGGCGAAAGACGAAAACACCAACTACGGAGGTTACGGACTCCTCAGACGAGGACATCTTAGAAGGAGCTCCACCGCCGCACCACAAATACGACACCTACTCGGTACAAGGTTTCCTCGTGGAAGCCACCTCACCAAACTCCAATGACAGCACGGCTCAGCCAAACACCCAGGCAAAGAAAAAATGGAAGATCTAGAGGCGTACACTAACCCCACCAGCTCCCTAACTGGTACAGCCAGCCCTTTAGGGCTGAAGACCCCCATCCATCCTAATCCCTAGTATCAGCCATTGGCAGATAATGGCTCCAAACACTCTCCACTTACGGGCTCACCATAGCCCGTGCTACTTGGAACTTTATGTTCTGAGTAGCTGAATCTAAAACAACATAAACACTGCTTCTCTACTCACCCACCCCACCGCTGCTTCCCTACTCTCCCACTATATTACAGTATTCTTCCTCCCTACCCTTCCTACCCTTCACCACCTTCCCTACCCTTCACCACCTTCCCTACCCTTCACCACCTTCCCTACCCATCAACACCTTCCCTACCCTTCACCCCTTTCTCTTCATCGCTGTAATATCTTCACTACATGTGTTCGTAAATGAATGAACCACACACAACAATCACTAATTATACAGAAACTAATGTGCTGGATGAGTCTCAGTAACGACTGTCTGGCATTTAGCAAGATTTGAAATTTGTATCATTTGTCATGTCATGTCAAGGTGAGGGGAAGACAGCCGACCACCATCCGCCTATGACGACCCCCGAACAACCACCAGTTACCCTGCAAAGTTTGATGAGGCATATATAACAAACAGAGACTTTATTATACTGTTATAGTGGGAACATTTTCTGCAGGTCTGCATCTAGCGCAGAATTCAGTATTCTTAATTCTGAAATGAAAGTTTTTATGTTCACTATAAGGAAAATAAAAGTTTAAAAATTGCGTCGTCTTTGGAATTGTGGGGAAGAAAGTGTCAGCAAGAGAGACAATTGTGGGGGAGAAACCAAGTGGTGGGGAGAGACGTATATGTGTCCAGGTGGTTGGGGAGACACGTATATGTGTCCAAGTGGTGGGAGAGACACGTATATGTGTCCAAGAGCTGGGAGAGACATATATGTGTCCAAGTGGTTGGGGAGACACGTATATGTGTCCAGGTGGTGGCAGAGACACGTATATGTGTCCAAGTGGTGGGAGAGACATATATGTGTCCAAGTGGTTGCGGAGACACGTATATGTGTCCAGGTGGTGGGAGAGACACATGTGTCCAGGTGGTTGGGGAGACACGTATATGTGTCCAGGTGGTAGGAGAGACACGTATATGTGTCCAAGTGGTGGGAGAGACATATATGTGTCCAAGTGGTTGGGGAGACACGTATATGTGTCCAGGTGGTGGGAGTGACACATATGTGTCCAGGCGGTGGGAGAGACACATATGTGTCCAGCTGGTGGAGAGAGACGTATATGTGACCAGGTGGTGTGGGAGAGACGTATATGTATCCAGGTGCTGGAGGAGACACATATGTGTTCAGGTGGTGGGGGAGACACATATGTGTCCAGGTGGTGGAGAGAGACGTATATGTGTCCAGGTGGTGAGGGAGACACGTATATGTGTCCAGGTGGTGTGGTAGAGACGTATATGTGTCCAGGTGGTGGGGGAGACACGTACATGTGTCCAGGTGGTGGGGGAGACACATATGTGTCCAGGTGGTGTGGGAGAGACGTATATGTGTCCAGGTGGTGGGGGAGACACGTATATGTGTTCAGGTGGTGGGGGAGATACATATGTGTCCAGGTGGTGGGAGAGACATATATATGTGTCCAAGTGGTTGGGGAGACACGTATATGTGTTCAGGTGGTGTGGGAGATACATATGTGTCCAGGTGGTGAAGGTCACACCTAATTACAACATTGATAGAACTATAGATGGTGGAAGAAATCTTCCTCGTTATTTGGTACAGACGGTGAAGATGGGGGGGGGGGAGTAACCTACCTTCACTATTGATGTAAATAGTGAGGGAGAGGAATTGACTTTCCTCTACAGTTTATGTTGATGGTGAAGGGGGACACACTATCTACATCACTTGGGGAGGTAAGGCAGAGAAACTTACCTACCTTCACCATCGATATAGGTAGTGAGGGGAAAGGAACACATATACCACCAGCAATTATGTAGATAGTGAGGGGCAAGAAATTACTTATTTTCCCCATTGATGTAGTCTGTGAAGGAAAGGCATACAGCGACCTTTACTGTTGATGAGGATGATGAGAGGGCGAAACACTCAACCCTTCACCATTGATGTAGGTGATGGGGAGGAACACACCTTCCTACACTATTGATGTAAATAGTGAGGGATAGGAACATACGCAACACAGTCATTGATGTATACAGTAAAGGAGGGGAGGGTTACGAAGCACTTATATCTTAATCATTTAGAAGAGGATTAGGGATATGAAAGAACCTATCTCCACTATTGATGTAGATGATGGTGAGAAAGAGGAGCAATCTAACTATCCCATTGATGTAGAACTGCAGGTCGTGAGGGAGAAGACCACAACTGTCCCCGCCATTGATGCAGATTATGAAGGAGAGTAACACACAGGCCGCTATGATTGATATAAACTTGTTAAGAGTAACACAGCTGTATGGACCATTGATGTTGATGGTGAGAGGAAGAGTCACTCACGTACCTCCACCACTGATGTAGATGGTGAGATGTCCATCGATGATGGTGCAGCCGCTCAGGATCTGGGCGTGACTGATGCTGGTGATGGTGGAGGCTGGACAGCGCCGCGGACACGCCATCTCTGCCACACGGGAGATAAAGCATCACTGATCAAGGAAGACCCCGGCCACACAAGCTACTGAGAAGGCAGCAGTTTATATGCACTGTCAACTTTACTCATATACTAGATGTGCAATAGGCATTTATCATTGTTTTCTAGTATGATTTCCCATCTCCCCTCCTTATACACACGTGTGGTGCAATGGTCAGCTCGGTCAGCTCACAAATTAAGTCCTTGGTTCGTGTCCCAGGCAGGTCTAGACATTTGGGCTTACACCCGGTGCCTCTGTTCACCCAGTAGTATTTTGTAACCTGGCGGTTGCTCGAGTGTCGTAAGTGGCATATTGAGTGAGTGTTGTGGAGATGCTCCGCGTACCTCAGACACACACACACACACACACACAATTGGGACCAATCCTCTTTCTAATTTACGTAAATGATATGTTTACAGGAGTGGAGTCATACATGTCAATGTTTGCAGATGACGCAAAATTAATGAGAAGAGTTGTGACAGACGAGGATTGTAGGATCCTCCAAGAGGACTTAAACAGGCTGCAGAGATGGTCAGAGAAATGGCTACTGGAGTTTAACACCAGTAAATGTAAAGTTATGGAAATGGGATCAGGTGACAGGAGACCAAAGGGACAGTACACAATGAAGGGGAACAGCCTACCTGTAACGATTCGAGAAAGAGACCTGGGAGTGGATGTGACACCTAATCTAACTCCTGAGGCACATATAAATAGGATAACGACAGCAGCGTACTCTACACTGGCGAAAATTAGAACTTCATTCAGAAACCTAAATGAGGAAGCTTTTAGGGCGCTTTACACTGCCTACGTGAGACCCGTCTTAGAGTATGCCGCGCCATCATGGAGCCCCCACCTGAAGAAACACATAAAGAAACTGGAGAAGGTTCAGAGGTTTGCGACGAGGCTTGTCCCAGAGCTACGAGGGATGGGATATGAAGAGCGGCTGAAGGAACTGAACCTTACGACACTAGAGAAAAGAAGGGAGAGAGGAGATATGATAGGGACATATAAAATACTCAGGGAATTGACAAAGTGGAAATAGATCAAATGTTCACACGTAATAATAACAGAACGAGGGGACATGGGTGGAAACTGGAAACTCAGATGAGTCACAGAGATGTTAGGAAGTTTTCTTTTAGCGTGAGAGTAGTAGAAAAATGGAATGCACTTGGGGAACAGGTTGTGGAAGCAAATACTATTCATACTTTTAAAACTAGGTATGATAGGGAAATGGGACAGGAGTCATTGCTGTAAACAACCGATAGCTAGAAAGGCGGGATCCAAGAGTCAATGCTCGATCCTGCAAGCACATATAGGTGAGTACATATAGGTGAGTACACACACACACACACACACACACACACACACACACACACACACACACACACACACACACACACACACACACACACACAGGAGGGAGGGAGAGGAGGAGGTGGGGTAGCTCTGCTACTAAGAGAAGGTTGGAGTTTCGAAGAGATGGTAATTCAGAACTGTGAAGGTTTCAGTGACTACATTTCAGGCACCATAGCAACTGGAGGACAGAAAATTATAATAGTAATCATATATAACCCCCCACCGAATGACAGAAGACCCAGACAGGAATATGATTGAAACAACTTGGCCACCATCAATATAATAGAGAGAGCAGCTTCTGTGGCTAGCAGGAACGGATCCAGACTTCTAATCATGGGAGACTTCAACCATGGGAAGATAGATTGGGGGAACAGAGACCCACATGGAGGCCCAGACACATGGAGAGCTAAGCTGCTGGATGTGGCAACAAGAAACTTTCTAAGTCAACACGTCAAAGGACCGACAAGAATGAGAGGAGGGGATGAACCAGCCTTGCTTGATCTGATATTTACCCTAAATGAGTCGGATATAAGGGAAGTTAAGTTGGAAGCCCCCTTGAGAATGAGTGATCACAGTGTATTGAGCTTTGGGTACCTGGTTGAGCTGGGAATTATCACCCCCAAAAAAGAACTGGGAACCAAAGGGTTGGAGTACCGAAAGGGAAACTATGAGGAAATGAATAAATTCCTATGGGATATACATTGGGACACAGAACTCGGAACCAAGTCCGTACAAGACATGATGGACTATGTCACCCAAAAATGTCAGGAGGCTGTAAGCAGGTTTGTCCCAGCCCGACAGGAAAAAACAGAGAAGCAAAGGAAGAATCCGTGGTTTAATAAGGAATGTATGAAAGCAAAGGAGCAAAACAAAAGGGCATGGAGGAACTTCCGTAATAACAGAACACCAGAAAGTAGAGAGAGATACCAGAGAACCAGGAACGAGTATGTCAGTGTGAGAAGAGCAGCTGAGAAAAGGTATGAAAATGATATAGCTAATAAAGCCAAGACCGAACCCAAGCTACTACACAGTCACATAAGGAGGAAGACAACAGTGAAGGAACTGGTGATGAAACTTAGGGTGGGCGAGGACAGGTACACAGAGAATGACAAAGAGGTGTGTGAAGAACTCAACAAAAGGTTCCAGGAGGTCTTTACAATAGAACAGGGAGATGTCGCGGCGCTAGAAGAGGTGGCAGCAAACCAGGTGACCTTGGATAGGTTCGAAATTACAAGAGATGAGGTCAAGAAGCACCTATTGGAGCTGGATGTGAGAAAAGCTGTTGGGCCGGATGGAATCTCGCCATGGGTATTGAAAGAGTGTGCAGGAGCACTTTGCCTACCACTCTCCATAGTGTATAGTAGGTCACTGGAAACGGGGGACCTACCAGAAATATGGAAGACTGCTAATGTAGTACCAATATACAAAAAGGGTGACAGACAAGAGGCACTGAACTACAGGCCAGTGTCCTTAACTTGTATACCATGCAAGGTGATGGAGAAGATTGTGAGAAAAAACCTAGTAACACATCTGGAGAGAAGAGACTTCGTGACAACCCATCAACATGGGTTCAGGGAGGGTAAATCTTGCCTTACAGGATTGATAGAATTCTACGATCAGGTGACAAAGATTAAACAAGAAAGAGAAGGGTGGGCGGACTGCATTTTTTTGGACTGTCGGAAAGCCTTTGACACAGTACCCCATAAAAGGTTGATGCATAAGCTAGAGAAACAGGCAGGAGTAACTGGTAGGGCGCTCCAGTGGATAAGGGAGTACCTAAACAATAGGAAGCAGAGAGTTACAGTGAGGGGTGAGATCTCAGACTGGCGTGAAGTCACCAGTGGAGTCCCACAGGGCTCTGTACTTGGACCTATCCTGTTTCTGATATACGTAAATGATCTCCCAGAGGGTATAGACTCATTCCTCTCAATGTTTGCTGACGACGCCAAAATTATGAGAAGGATTAAGACAGAGGAGGACAGCTTGAGGCTTCAAGAAGACCTGGACAAGCTGCAGGAATGGTCGAACAAATGGCTGTTAGAGTTTAATCCAAGCAAATGTAATGTAATGAAGATAGGGGTAGGAAGCAGGAGACCAGATACAAGGTATCACTTGGGAGATGAAATACTTCAAGAGTCCGAGAGAGAGAAAGACCTGGGAGCTGATATCACGCCAGACCTGTCCCCTGATGCTCACATCAAGAGGATAACAGCAGCAGCATATGCCAGGTTGGCTAACATAAGAACGGCCTTTAGAAACTTGTGTAAGGAATCTTTCAGAACATTATATACCACATATGTCAGACCAATCCTGGAGTATGCGGCACCAGCAGGGAGTCCATATCTAGTCAAGCATAAGACTAAAATGGAAAAGGTTCAAAGGTTTGCCACCAGACTAGTACCTGAGCTGAGAGGTATGAGCTACGAGGAGAGACTACGGGAATTAAACCTCACTTCGTTGGAAGACAGAAGAGTTAGGGGGGACATGATCACCACATTCAAGATCCTCAAGGGAATTGACAGGGTTGATAAAGACAGGCTGTTTAACACAAGGGGCACACGCACTAGGGGACACAGGTGGAAACTGAGTGCCCAAATGAGCCACAGAGATATTAGAAAGAACTTTTTTAGTGTCAGAGTGGTTTACAAATGGAATGCATTAGGAAGTGATGTGGTGGAGGCTGACTCCATACACAGTTTCAAGTGTAGATATGATAGAGCCCAATAGGCTCAGGAACCTGTACACCTGTTGATTGACAGTTGAGAGGCGGGACCAAAGAGCCAGAGCTCAACCCCCGCAAGCACAACTAGGTGAGTACAACTAGGTGAGTACACACACCTTCCTAGAACCCCCCATTCCACACACACAAATGCACATATGTATATGTAAACGTACATTCTAGTATATGTAAAAAATGTATATTCTAGTATATGTAAACGATCTTCCAGAGGGTACAGACTCATTCTTCCCAATGTTTGCTGATGATGCAAAAATTATGAGAAGAATCAAAACAGATGAAGATAGACAGAGACTACAGGACGACCTGGACAAACTGGAGGAATGGTCTAGAAAATGGCTGCTAAAGTTTAACTCGGGAAAGTGTAAAGTAATGAAATAAGGCGAAGGGAGCAGAAGGCTGAACACAAGGTACCATCTGGGAGGTGAAATCCTGCAAGAGTCAAATAGAGAGAAAGGTGAGGGGGTCGATATCACACCGAACCTGTCCCCAGAGGCCAACATCAAAAGGATATCATCAGCGGCATATGCTAGACTGGCCAATATAAGAACTGCCTTTAGAAACTTGTGTAAGGAATCGTTCAGGACCCTGTATACCACTTATGTCAGACCAATCCTGGAGTATGCAGCTCCAGCCTGGGAGTCCATACCTAGTTAAATACAAGACAAAGTTAGAGAAGATTCAGAGGTATGCCACCAGATTGGTCCCGGAACTGAGAAGAATGAGTTATGAGGAAAGGCTAAGGGAGCTGAACCTCACAACCCTGGAAAACAGAAGAGTAAGGGGAGACATGATAACCACCTACAAAATTCTCAGGGGAATTGACAGGATGGACAAAGACAAACTTTAGCGCGGGTAGGACACGAAGAAGGGGACACAGGTGGAAACTTAGTACCC